CGCATATGGATTGCCCCTGACAATGTCGAGCTCCAGTTCAAGTTGCTAGTGATTTCGCACTGCGATACAGCTGGGCACAGGGGAATAGAGTCCACCTTAAGCACCCTTGCGGAGGTGTACATATGGGATGACATGGAATGCGACGTCAAAGAGTTTGTCGCTAGTTGCCTTCATTGCATTGTGGCGAAAACCGGCCAACGTATCCCCCGCCCTCTGGCTCTTACGCTACACGCCTCATCCCCAAACGAAGTCTTGCACTTCGACTTCCTCTTCATGGGTGTCGGCACGGACGGTCTGAAGTATTCGCTCATTTTGAAGGATGACCTCTCCACCTATCTATGGATTTGTCCCTGTGTGGCCGCGGACGCAAATACTGCGGCTCAAGACGTCGCGCGCTGGATAAGGGTCTTCACTCCGCCCTACTACTGGGTGTCGGACCAGGGATTGCACTTTAAGAACAAGGTGATGGACGCGCTGGCACGACTGCATAAAATCAGGCATCAGTTTACTGTAGCCTACTCTCCATGGGTTAATGGGACCGTTGAAGTATGCATGAGGCATGTCCGCGCTGCGTGCACGGCCCTGCTCTCCGAACTCAAGCTAGGCCCACATGATTGGCCTTTGGTCATCGAGACTGTTATGTCTGCGCTAAATGAGGCCCCTTTAAAGCGTCTAGGGAAAAGGGAAGATGGGACTTTCCGCACACCACTCGAAGTCATGACTGGAATTCGTCCGAATCGGTCTACGCTGTCTGTTCAGCGCCCCGACGGCAGTAATCCTCTTACTCTCGGACAAGTCCGTGTACGACAGCTCATCAATATCTCGTTACTCCAACATTCTATTGATGCCATACACAAGGACGTCAATCACAAGGTCACACGGAATAGAGAGCGTCAGATACAGCATCATAACAAGAAAACAAACTTGATCGTGCCGAACTTTGAGATTGGGGATTTCGTGGTTGTCAGGCGCGCACAGGACCGTGGGCACAAGCTCACCTTTCGCTGGACAGGTCCGCGCCGTATCACGCGCGTTATTAGTGATATGGTTTACGAGGTATCTACCTTGTCCGGCGGTTCTGTAGAGATTGTGCATGCAAGTCGCTTGCTCAAGTATCGCGCCGCCCTCGACGGTGCTACAGTCTCTGAGAAGCTATTGAAGCAGGCTGAGCACCTCGAGACCCGATTTGAAATGGTGGATAAGTTGGTGGATATCGGCGAGGCCAATGATGGAATTTTCGTGCAGGTGCAGTGGCTGGGGCAGCCGGATCGTACCGACTGGACTTGGCAGCCTCTACAAGAGCTCTTCACAGATATTCCTGACTGCGTTTCAACCTTTCTCCGCACTTGCGACAATACGAAAGTCGCTGCAAAGGCACTTTCTCAACTCGGCATCTCGGATTGATGCAACCAACCGACTTCGTGCTTTCTTGCATGGGGCAGTGTGGATGCTGGTTACCATAAATGGCAACATCTTCTGTTGCGGAAAGAAGAGTTCTACTGTACCCATAAGCGGAGTTATGTCGTGTTGTGTTTTACTGCGTTAGCTACCGAGACTAGCTCGTTAGCACTTCGTTTACTACATAAACACTCTTGCCTCCCCGTCTCGACAGAGGGAGGCAGAGGTCGTTGAGTCATCATCTTTCAATTTCCGCCGGCGCGGAGGTACACTGTCTACACAAGGCTTATGAATATCATCGAAACTCTCACTGCGAGTAGCGAGAGAGTACTACATAAAGCCATTGATTACGTTTGCCTTCAAGTCCAACGAACATCCAGAGTAACAATATCCACATCCATGGGGTCAGTGACAAAGACGTATGCGGGTCTTGAGGAGGCAATTCCATCCGACCTCTTGCAGGAATGCCCTTGCAATACCTCCTCAGAGCCAGAAGGGTTTGTTCCTGGGTATCCATCCTTTTCGGTACACTTGAACAATGCGGTTGGAAGCATTGCTGTGGTGTATTTTGGCGTCCAGCGCCAAGTTTTGAATGATTCGAGGAAGAGGGAAGGCTCCCTACAGGCTGAACTGATGGCTGATTTGTTTGTGTCGAAAATCAAAGGCGCATTTCAAAACGACAAGTACACACCAGCACACTGGGAAAGAGCCTTTTATGTAGATGAGTGTGGATATGCAACTGATCTCTTATTTGGATATTGGTCTGATAAGAGTACATTTGAGAAGTGGGAAGAAACACATGGCAATGAATTTTGGTTCTGCGATCATAAATTGAGTGGACCCGTGGGGATTTTCAAGGAATGTCACTTCCCGAGGCGGGAAGATATTGAAACAACGTTTTCAAGCCCGATGAAGGAAGGTATTACCTTTCTTGAAGGGTCCAAAATCGCTGGGGAAACGAACAAGCATGGATACGACGGCTCAATGATAGATCGTATTCCGCGGTCGCAATGAGAACAACTCGCAGGTGAAGGATCTCTAGAGTTCATTCATACAGGAAGGGGGGACACACGAAGTAAAATGATTACGGTGAACGGAAATGGAAATCTCATTTACCTGCGATCTGGCCAAAACCTGTTGGATGCCGACAGCGAAGAAAAGAGCTCTTACAAACAGGTCATGTCAGGCCCGCTGTCGGTGGGTATGAAACACATTCAGCTTACACGGAGTACAGGGTGTTATTTCAACCGCTTTGTTAGGAGTTTGGATCAGAATGGCAATGAAATTGGGAAGATATTCAGCTTGAGTATGTGGTATGATGTTCACCAGCTACTGAATTGGACAAAAAGCCATGTTCACGAGAGAATCATGGACACCGGTATGGCCATGTATTCGGAAAAAGGACCACATCTCAAGCTTCGTCTCTGGCATGAAGCGTTCTGTCTTCCACATTCAGGCCAGCAGAGTCAGTATTTTGGCTGCCACACTAAGACCGGGCTTCTGAACATGCTAACAAAATTGACGTAGCTTTTAAGATCTTTGTAATTGCAAGTCTTCGTTTTGTTTGAGAGGTATTTCTCGAGCAAAGGCACTATTTCATGTGGGTCACCTGTTATCATGACGACTTTTGGTTGAACTATGCATGGGCACAGTTTCTGCGAAAACGGGAAGAAGGAAATCATAAAGGCAGAGTTCTGCTTAGAGGATAGCATGGGCTCGAGACTGGCCACATCTGCATTCCCCGTCGCGTGGAGCTGGTGGTGAAATGTGATGAGGGGGTCCGAAAAGAAGAGAAAACGATACCAAGCAGATCCACGTCACATGGGCTCAATAAACAGTATCCCATTTCAAAATCATTTGGCGAATGAACTCAGCTAGCCAAAAACTGTTGGTGGCTCGCTCAGAAGGTGCAGTCAGCCATGCTGACCTTCGTCGGTGTCTCGCGACGACAATCTGTGCTTTGTCGACTGCCGTCGCTGGTCTGAAAGTTAACTTTCACAAGCCCAACCTACAGTGCTCACGAAAAGGACTGTACGAGTTGCACCGCTCTAGTGGTTTATTTTTCTTGCTGATGACTTTGATCCTGTGAGGTCAGACGGCATCTTGCGCCGAGTTTTCCTGTGAACAGATCTTAACGTATCATTGCTGTCTCCTTGGAGGAACGACTATACAGGACGGGTCAAGGATGTGGGGTGAAAGCAGCTGATGGGAATTTCCGAGGACAATGTGACCTATGGACAGGGGGTTTATCCAATATGTGACTGATCCGACAAGGAGGGTAGTTGGAAAGGGGAATCCGCCAAAACTGTGATGATCTGGTTGTGGAAACAGGACACGGACTTGAAAATGAAGCGGCGCTCACTAGCCAGCTTCATTCAAACAATGCAATGAATGGTACACGAGCCGTGATTCGTGCCTGGAGCATTGGACTGGCAGCTAGTTTGGGAATTCTACGAGAACTGAAGACGCTGATGTATAACGTGGCGAAAACAATCGACGGGAGTCCGTATATTAATGTGGACGTTAAGCAAGAATGCGTTCCTACTCGTGAAGTCGTTGATGGCAGTCAGACAGGTGCCTCTATGCGCGGCTGCCTGTTCGATTCTGTAAAGTATCGTACAAGCATAGCGGTTATGTATTGTCATGTGGTAAAGTCCCAAACCGTTGAGGTTTGTGCTGTACGATCATATGGCGACCATAGTCTGACCCCAATGCCCCTACCACCGATTCTTGATGCAAGTTTTAGTACGCCGGCTATACTATCTGCACTCGCTATTCAACGTTTTCCACGGCGACCTCGATTATCTTCATTGTTGGACTGCCTTTCACCGAAAAGCAAACCGATATCGAACGAAGCGGGTATCATAACCCCAACCCTATCGTATTCATCTAGAAATGACGAGTGGTGTCAACCATCAATAGCTCATTCATATTCCGATTATATCATCGTATTGGTAAACAAATTTATCATTTCGGAGCTCGGAACGGGCTCAAACAGTGACAAGGAGGAAAACAGCTGTCTTTGAGAGGGGCGATTGTACATGATGGAACGTTTCGAAAGAGGAAATCCACTCCAATGAAAAGGCATGTAAGTGCTGTAGAGTGAGCTCTACAGCACTTACATGCCCAATGGAACCTTGCTTGCCGAATCTCTGTTGCAGAAATGCGAACGCTTCAGTCATATCTCATTTTATAATTCCTCAACGTTTATTGCTTTGGTACTTTGTACATACAATACAGGGAGGCAAAGGATCTCGATGGAGTGGAGAAGGTCTGGTATGCAGCGATAGAGATTATCAGAATTTGTGGATGTCGGGGAGACGATAAACCGACATGCACGCCCGCAAAGCTAGACATGCAGGTTAAAGCGTACGTACCCGATTCTCCTTGACGACGACTGGAGAAACGGTCTCAGTTGACGGCAATCACTAAACGGGCAACGGTATATGATGATCTTTCCGCTAATCTCGATGGGCAGCAGATATAAAATTTAGATTGCTTTTCGGTTGCAACATCCCGATCTCATAGTCTCCACTATTTACCTCCCGCATGCATCCCATCTCCCGCGTTCCCGCCCTTCACGTCTCCGTCCCCACTACGCCATGGCCTTCATCAGTGCGCCCGCGACACTTTTCACGAGCACGCGCGGTCGCGCCATCTCCCCGCGACGCTCCAATCACCGCGCAACTACACCAGTGATGGCGCTTAACGTGCTAGTAACCGGCGCGGGCGGGCGCACGGGCCGGCTGGTGTTGGAGTCGCTCGTGGCGGCCGGGGACGCGTACGAGGCGACGGGGCTGGTGCGGTCCAAGACGCGGGCCAAAGAGTTGATGGAGGAGACGTACAACAAGGTGGAGGCGCTGCTAACCGAGGGTGACATCACCAAGGAGGAGACGCTGCGGGAGCCGCTGAAGGGCAAGGACGCGCTGGTGATCCTGACGAGCGCCGTGCCGAAGATGAACCCGCCCGTGGAGGGACAGGCGCCCAGCTTCTATTACGAGGAGGGCGGCATGCCGGAGACCGTGGACTGGCATGGGGCGAAGCGACAGATCGACCTGGCGATCGAGGCTGGTGTGAAGCATGTGGTGCTCGTCGGGTCAATGGGGAGCACGGACGACGCCAACCAGCTGAACCGGATCGGGAATGGGAACATCCTGCGGTTCAAGCGCAAAGCGGAGCTGTACCTGATCGGGTCCGGCGTGGATTACACGATCATTAACCCGGCCGGGCTGTGCAACGAGGAGCCCGGCAAGCGCGAGCTGGTGGTTGGGCACAACGACGAGCTGTTCACGGTGTACGGGCGCGGGACGATCCCGCGCAAGGACGTGGCGCGCGTGGTGATGAGCGCGCTGTCGACGGAGAAGGCAAGGAACAAGGCGTTTGACATTTTGGCGCTGCCGATCGGCGATGGCACGCCCACGGCCGATGTGGTGCCGCTGTTCGACAGCACTGGGCCCGATTTGTAGAAGGGAAAGTAGTCTGTGAAAGGTGCGGCCACTTGCGTTGAGCGGAGAGAAGAACGGCGTTGACGTGTATGCCGGGGTTTGATAAAGGGGCATTGTGTTCCAAGGTGTATGCGGAGAGGGGGGGCGGGCAAGATAGGCATGAAACGTTTCCCTTACTCGCGGAACCTTCCTCATCGCTCAGCGTAAGCTGTCCCTCCCGCGTTGGCGCCAGTTGCGATGGACACATTGCATTGCGGTTCTCGTTCGCATGGGAGAGGTTGGGAGTGTTTTGGTATGTATTAGAACGTACACGTTGCCACGCACACCACGTGGCCACCGCGTGCTTCGGGTCCACGTGTCACTGACGGGCCAACTAAACTAACGCGCGTAAACAAGCATCCCCCCCGTCTGGCACGAAGCCGCCCATTAACGACAATCCAACGCCGCTCTCCATCCCGCCCCACAGCCGCAGCCACCCCGCCGTCCCCCCACCGCCGCATCGCACCTCAAACATCAGCCCCCTCTCCATCAGCACTCGCACCACGCCGACCAGGCGCGTCTCCCGATAAGTCGACCCTCGAAAAGCTTCTCATTCTGGAGGAGCACCATCCCGGCCGCAAACCCGTACTCTCGTCTTCTGAAGAAAAACTCATCGCCCACAGTGCTATCCAAGCCGCGCAGCAGGGCTTCGTAGTAGACAACGACACAATCATCTCCGTACACGCGCGTATTGCACATGACAGAACAGCACACTACGCCACAGGATTGCCCTCCTCTGACACCATCAGAGCTTTTAGAGCTCGTAATAGATCCCTGGCATACTGTGTGCCGA